TTTGTAGTATGCTCCGTTCTAGCTATTATTTCCTCAAGTTTTCCATAACGGAATCGTTGAAATTTATCCTCATTGAACATCATATTATTATAAAAAAAAAGATGCACTTAACAGGAAAGGCATATGATAGGGAAGCAACTGTGGCAGATATTGCGAGTGTATGGAACAGGTGGTAGGTTATCGAATGTTGTTAAGAGCTTTTATAAGGATAGCGAGGCTCAGGTTAGGGAAGGATTATTATTATAATCAAGGGGGAAGCGCTAAACCCGGAGGATTATACAGCGCTTAGGGGGGGGGATGTGGAAGGCATTCAGGATTAATTCGGGGAACTGGAGCACAGATCCAATTCCCTAAATCAAGAGCCCCTCACCAACATCAAGGAACCTTCCTTGAGGGGTGGTTAGGGAAGGAGATTAGGTGAGGGAGATGATTTTTCAGTATTATTATTATTATAATCAAAAAGAAGCGCTAAGCCACAAGGGCTATTATTATTATTATTACAATCAAGGGGGAAGCGCTAAACCCGGAGGATTATACAGCGCCTGGGGGGGATGTGGAAGGCATTCAGGCTTAATTTGGGGAACTGGAGCACAGATCCAATTCCCTAAATCAAGAGCCCCTCACCAACATCAAGGAACCTTCCTTGAGGGGCACAAGGGCTATACAGATGCATGATGTCACCATGGTTATTTGGCATATTTATAGATGGTGTTGTAAAAGAAGTGAATACTAGGGTGTACGGAAGAGGCGGGATTAAAATATAATACAAAATACAAAATTAATTAGAGTTGTCACAGTTGCTTTTGGGAGACAGAAGATTCTTGTTATTATAGTCAAAGAAAGCGTTCAACCGACAAGGGCCATACAGCGCATAGGTAAGAGCCAGGAGATGAGGGTAACAAAAAAATTATTAGGTAATGAAAAATTGGATATCACATTGGAGGGAGTATGGAGGAAGTGAACGTGTTCAGATATTTGGGAGTGGACTTGTGAGCCGAGGGGTCTATGAAAGACGAGATATAAACTATAAAACTGAGGAGAAAAAAGGCGCGTGGTACACTGAGAAGTCTGTGGAGGCAAAGAACGTTATCCATGAAAGCAAAATGGGGAATGTATGAGAGTATAGTGGTACCAACGCTCTTATACTGTTGTGAAACATGGGTTATGGTATAAATGTTGCAACAAGGAGGCTGGAAGCAGTGGAAATGTCATGTTTGAGGCCAATGTGTGGTGTGAATATTATGGAGAGTTCGTATTATTATTATAATTATAATCAAGGGGAAGCGCTAAACCCGGAGGATTATACAGCGCCTGGGGGGATGTGGAAGGCATTCAGGCTTAATTCGGGGAACTGGAGCACAGATCCAATTCCCTAAATCAAGAGCCCCTCACCAACATCAAGGAACCTTCCTTGAGGGGGGAGAGTTCGTAGCTTGGAGGTTAGGCGTTGGATTAAAAGTATTATCCAGGGATAACAAAAAAAGGCACAATACCGTGACTGGAACGATACACAAATAACCCGCACATAAAAGATAGAAGCTTACGACGACGTTTCGGTCCGACTTGGACCATTTACAAAGTGACAGACTTTGTAAATGGTCCAAGTCGGACCGAAACGTCGTCGTAAGCTTCTCTTTTATGTGCGGGTTATTTGTGTATTATCCAGGGGGCTGAAGAGGGATTGAGATGGTTCAGACATTTAGAGGATGAACAAAATTGGATGACTTGGAAGGCGTATAAATCTGTAGTGAATTATTATAATCAAAAAGAAGCGCTAAACCACAAGGACTATACAGCAATCTGTAGTGAAGGGAAGCCAAGGTAGGGATCGAACTAGGAGAGGCTGGAATGATTTACTCAAGTCATCCAGCAAGCGTGCGCGAGCATATTAGGAGTGGGGGCAAGTGGTTTTTGACTTGACATGTTGGAATGTAAGATAACATATGAAGGGATTTGGGTAAACCGGTTAGCCGGACTTGATTATATAATAATCATAACTAGGCGCTAAACCCACAGGGATCATACTGCAGCCGAACTTTAGTCCGTCCTGGACGTGGAAAGTACAGTAACTGCTCTCTAAGGATTGATGGGGATATTTGCAGTTTTGAACTATAGTATCGGGGCCCCTCTGGAAAGTGATATTGAAAGTGTTCTCTTTTGGGCTACCCTGCCTGTGGGAGACGGCAGATTTGTTGGAATTTTTTTTTTTTCTCAACAAGTCGGCCGTCTCCCACCGAGGCAGGGTGACCCAAAAAAGAAAGAAAATCCCCAAAAAGAAAATACTTTCATCATTCAACACTTTCACCACACTCACACAGTATCACTTTTTGCAGAGGTGCTCAGAATACAACAGTTTAGAAGCACACACACAGATACACAACATATCCCTCCAAACTGCCAATATCCCAAACTCCTCCTTTAGTAGTAGGCTGGTAGACAGCAACCACCCAGGGAGGTACTACCGTCCTGCCAAGTGAGTGTAAAACGAAAGCCTGTAATTGTTTAACATGATGGTAGGATTGCTGATGTCTTTTGTCTGTCTCATAAATATGCAAGATTACAGGTATGTCTTGCTACTTCTACTTACACTTAGGTCACACTACACATGCATGTACACTTTTATTTATACACACTCATCTGAGTTTTCTTTGATTTTATCTTAATAGTTCTTGGTCTTATTACTTTTCCTTTTATATCCATGGGGAAGTGGAATAAGAATCTTTCCTCCGTAAGCCATGCGTGTTGTAAAAGTCAACTAAAATGCCGGGAACAATGGGCTAGTAACCCCTTTTCCTGTAAAGATTACTAAAAAGAATAAGAAAAAATTATATATCTACAAAATACAAATATATAGGTATACAAACATTTAAATCAGTTTTCAGGCTTCACTTGTGTTTAGTATGGGTCTCTGGCATCAGTGTCTAGCCTTGGTCGACCACCAAACTGATCGCCAGGTTTCCCAGACTTGGTGAAACCTTTCAGCATTAGGTTGTATGACAAACTATGCATGTTGGAGCGTAAGTTCAGATGTAATATGGCATCCCCAAATTAATTAGACATCGCTGTTGGCTAGCATTATTACATAAATAGGGCAAGAGCTGAACCCATTGGTGTCATACAGCACCTTGGTAAATGGGAGGCATTGTGTTTAATCCAGCGAAGGGAAGCACAGGTCCAATTCGATAGATCAAGTACCCTTCGCCAACATGAGGCAACCTACCATACGGGGATCCAGCCTAGAACGGTGAGATAGCAGGTAAGTCTTGTTGCACCCTGGTAACCTCCAGTACTTTGATGATAGAAAGATACTCTTCATCCAAGAAACTGAACACTTCCTCTTGGATCGAACCTTTCCTCTCGTGCCCTGGGACCTAGCCTCTATAAACCCAACAGGTTTAGCGCTTCTAACGTACTGCCCCACTTAATGGATGCTCTAAGAATGGTGCGTTTGTTCTAATGATTAATGGTTCTTGGTCAAAATACTCAAAATTTAAAACTACCAACAACAGGAGTTGCCTTTCCTTTATATGGATCAAATCTAATGGATGGGAAGCAGAATTAAAACCTACAATATACACAGGTTAAGGCTGCACAACTTTTTACCAGTCAAGAATCCCTGAAATAGGTATTAAAGCAGCAATCAGCATATATACACTACACAGAAAAAAGCCTTTTGGCACAATATATATACACCTTACCACCAAATTTTATACTCCATTCCCTAAGCAGTACATAACTTCTGCAAGTTTAATGAATACGGTAAGTTGCAATTCATATTATAATCAAAGCACTAAACCCATAAGGGTCATACAGCACCGCAGGGTAGGATGTGCTTAAGATGTAATATGCCAAATCAAAGACCAGGGAGGGTGAAAAGACGGGAGGCGGTCAGTAAGGGCAATGAATGCATTTGATATAATTGCAATATAATGCATTTCAGATAACCTGACAACTGAATGACTCAGTTTAATTACTGCACAAGAAGTATAATTTGAAAATGCATCCATTTTAAAACTTATCATAAGCCTCAGAAGAGTTTCAATTTTTAATCAATTCCCATCTTTTTAATGTACCTCCCACATTATAATCAAAGCTCAGCACTAAACCCATAAGGGTCATACAGCGCTGACTTCCCGTATCTACCTTGACACTTCAATGGGGTGCCGTGATGCTGGTTAAAGACTACTTGATCAAGGAATTGAATCAATCTGTTAACCTCCCTTTCCCAATTATAATCATAACTGAGCTAAACATGTAAGGGCCATACAGCACTGTCCTTTTCCCCAAGTCAGACTGCAACATTGTCAAACTCCTATGCTTATGTGGGATATTTAAGTATACACATTTCTCCAAGGTATCATATGACCCAAATGATTTTATCATTTTTCAAGTAATGGTAGTCTTCCTTGCCTTTTAAAAGAGGGTTCTTGGAGTGTTGAAAGGCTCTATCAAAAGAATCTGACCTTTCCTTGGACTGAATGTATTCATAACAAATATTGTCAAGCCAAGTTCAGATTCCTGGTCTTATCATCAATGCTGAGGTTGGGAGACTAGGCTCTCCTGTTTTCACATCGGGCACCCACTCACTCTTTTCAAGCTTTCTAACAATGCTTCTGCCTCTTGAATTCTACTCTACAATCATTATTATGTTCATAATCAAACACTAAACCCGTGAAGGTTGTACAGCACTCCTACTCCACAATTAAAAAAAGTCACTACAGCACTTCTGTTGTCCATTCTCTGGTGAATAACCAGTACAGATCAAAGCATCAACAAGGCCTTAATACCTCATCAAACAAAGTATTCTAGAAGTCCTCTGGCATCTGCTGTAAAGCAAAATTAGAGTTATGGCAAAAGTAGTTAGGGTGCACATTAATTTGAACTTGAACTGCACTGTTCTCTAACAAAAACCATTACAAGAGTACTATATAACAATAGCAATGAAAGTACAGATTACCAGTGAAGAAAAAAAACAAAGCATTTGAAAATAAAAGAGCATATTATAACCACAATTTATTGACTCAGGTTGATTCTTCAGTGCGCAGTCTCGCAGATCCGTTGGTCAGACGAATTGACAGTTGGTTTGCCCTCTCCACGATATCTTTACGCTTACGGGACGAAACGCCGTGGGCAATTTCTGCGCAGAAAGTGCGATTTTGCATCATCAGCACTTCCAGCTCCTGGAAGGAGAAAAAAAATACATATTAGCAACAAACACAAGTCAACAGTAGTGTGCACAAACTAACAACTTCATCAGTAATATAAGAGTGTCATCATACACCCTTGCCAACTGCAGGAGTTTAGAACTCTAGCCTAGGTTTTCATCATTAAAAAGATGTGTAAAAAGAAGATATTTAAATCTCTCTTAATTTCATACTATTGCAAAAATAAATTGTATAGCAAACCCATCATTAACAAAAATTAATGACAATCATTGCCCCTTGTTATATCTCAATTCAAACCGACCATGTCATGTTTGACAGATAACACACCATTTGGAAATTTTTTCCAACAGAATTGTTATTATTAAATTTAAATTTACCCTTAAATATTTTCAGTATGCTGAACAAAATACTTCCCATGGAAAATACAGAGTATTAACCACAACCAGCATCAAGCCCATGCTCAAAGGAGATGGAATTTACACTGATGACAGCAAAGAAATGAATGGAATATTGAAGGATCAATATGACACTTCAACGAACAGTTTGAGCTAAAGGTTGACAATACTAACAAATTTTTCGTGAACAAGATTAATTTTAGCAGCATCTCCAAAATTGCTAACCTATCTTAACCCCACTCAACTTCAAAATAGTCCACGAGAGCATGGCCATATAATGTCCCAAGCCGAGACTTGTGGAACTCTAAAGGTGACAGCAAAGCAAAAGCAAAGAACAATTGATCAACAGCACTGGTGTTCCACAATATTAAAATCTTGTATTTTAAGAAGCAAAATTTGCTAACCACATGGATTCACAACTGTACAACCCAGGGTAGCATGTGTTTACAGTAGCCCACTCCTGCCTCTCAACTACTGAATCATTGCCACATGGTCTTAGATGCGCTGCAAGACAGACATGCAGATGTACCTGGAGAGGGTTTTGAGGGTCAGTGCCCCCAGCTCGGTCTGAGACCAGGCCTCATGGTGAATCTGGGTCTGATCAACCAGGCTGTTACTGCTAGCTGCACACAAGCTGAGGTATGAACCACAGCCTGGTTGGTCAGGCACTGACTCTAGGTGCCTGTCCAGTGCCTTCTTAAGACAGCCAGGGGGGTCTATTGGTAATCCCCCTTATGTATGCTGGGAGGCAGTTGAACAATCTTGAGCCCTGGACACTTACTTTCTTGTGTCTCAATGTACTCGTGGCGCCCCTGCTTTTCATAGGAGAAATGTTGCATTTCCTGCCGAGACTTTTGCTTTCATAAGGAGCGATTTTCTTGTGCAGGTTTGGTACCAATCCCTCCAGGACCTTCCAAGTGTATATTATCATGTATCTCTCTCACCTGCATTCCAGGGAATACAGATCAAGGACATTCAACTGTTCCCAGTAATTTAGGTGCCTTATCATACTTATGCATGTCATGAAAGCTCTTTGTACACTCTCCAAGTCTGCAATGTCGCCAGCCTTGAATTAGGCCATTAGTGTACAGCAGTATTCCAGCCTAGAGAGCACAAGCGATTTGAAGAGAATCATCATGGGCTTGGTGTCCCTAGTTCTGAAGGTTCTCATTATCCATCCTTTCATTTTCCTAGCAGATGAGGTAGATACACTGTTGTGATCTTCGAAGGCGAGATCCTCTGACATTATCACTCCCAGGTCTTTCACATTACAGTGGGCCCCCCCGGATTAAGTCGTCATCGGAATGAGTAATATTCGGAACAAGTAAAATTTTTGCATCAAAATATTGGCTCGGTGAACGTCACTGAACTCGGTACAAGTCATTCATCCGGAACGTGTCCGTGCAGCCTGAGCAGCCCCGACACTCCATGTACAGCCAATGTGCCATTGCTTACCAGCCAGTGAGGACGATCCTACGTGTTCATACGATTGTATTATTCCATTCTTTTTAGTGCTTGTAACTGCTAAATAAGCCACCATGGGCCCAAAGAAAGCTTTTAGTGCCAGCCAGCCCTGTGGTAAAGTGCTGAGAGAGAGGGGAGAATGTGCCTTTTTCAGTGATTCTGCAATACGTATAATGCTAAAGCAGCAGTAGTCAATAAAGGCTATAGCGCCAGTGATAAAGTGAAGCACTAACAGTGTAGCAAGTAAGTTACGCAATTAATCGATAGAAAAAGGACAGCACGAAACTGACTCCATTGTTGTTGGAGGTACATAGGGCTATTGACTAACACTGCTGCCTCTGCTTCTGTCTTCACCACCATGTAAGGCTTATGTGTCAGTGGCCCTTATACACCCAACAACACACCACCACTCGTGACATTCTTAATGCCATATTTTATTCATTCTAGAGTATATATCATGTTTCTATGTTATTAATATTGTTTATGTTATATTAGATGAATTGTGCTAGAAAAATAAGCCGTAGAGCTGATTTTTTTTTTTTCAACAAGTCGGCCGTCTCCCACCGAGGCAGGGTGACCCAAAAAAGAAAGAAAATCCCCAAAAAGAAAATATTTTCATCATCATTCAACACATTCACCACACTCGCACATTATCACTGTTTTTGCAGAGGTGCTCAGAATACAACAGTTTAGAAGCATACACATATAAAGATACACAACATATCCCTCCAAACTGCCAATATCCCAAACCCCTCCTTTAAAGTGCAGGCATTGTACTTCCCATTTCCAGGACTCAAGTCCGACTATATGAAAATAACCAGTTTCCCTGAATCCCTTCACTAAATATTACCCTGCTCACACTCCAACAGATTGTCAGGTCCCAAGTACCATTCGTCTCCATTCACTCCTATCTAACATGCTCACGCACGCTTGCTGGAAGTCCAAGCCCCTTGCCCACAAAACCTCCTTTATCCCCTCTCTCCAACGCTTTCGAGGACGACCCCTACCCCACCTTCCTTCCCAATAGATTTATATGCTTTCCATGTCATTCTACTTTGATCCATTCTCTCTAAATGACCAAACCACCTCAACAACCCCTCTTCTGCCCTCTGACTAATACTTTTATTAACTCCACACCTTTTCCTAATTTCCACACTCTGAATTTTCTGCATAATATTTACACCACACATTGCCCTTAAACAGGACATCTCCACTGCCTCCAACCGTCTCCTCGCTGCTGCATTTACCACCCAAGCTTCACACCCATATAAGAGTGCTGGTACTACTATACTTTCATACATTCCCTCTTTGCCTCCATAGATAACGTTTTTTGACTCCACATATACCTCAACGCACCACTCACCTTTTTTCCCTCATCAATTCTATGATTAACCTCATCCTTCATAAATCCATCCGCCGACACGTCAACTCCCAAGTATCTGAAAACATTCACTTCTTCCATACTCCTCCTCCCCAATTTGATATCCAATTTTTCTTTATCTAAATCATTTGACACCCTCATCACCTTACTCTTTTCTATGTTCACTTTCAACTTTCTACCTTGACACACATTCCCAAACTCATCCACTAACCTTTGCAATTTTTCTTTAGAATCTCCCATAAGCACAGTATCATCAGCAAAAAGTAACTGTCAATTCCCATTTTGAATTTGCTTCCCCAAAATTTAATCCCACCCCTCTCCCGAACACCCTGGCATTTACTTCCTTTACAACCCCATCTATAAATATATTAAACAACCATGGTGACATTACACATCCCTGTCTAAGACCTACTTTTACTGGGAAGTAGTCTCCCTCTCTTCTACACACCCTAACCTGAGCCTCACTATCCTCATAAAAACTCTTTACAGCATTTAATAACTTACCACCTATTCCATATACTTGCAACATCTGCCACATTGCTCCTCTATCCACTCTATCATATGCATTTTCTAAATCCAAAAATGCAATAAAAACTTCCCTACCTTTATCTAAATACTGTTCACATATATGCTTCAATGTAAACACTTGATCTACACATCCCCTACCCACTCTGAAACCTCCTTGCTCATCCGCAATCCTACATTCTGTCTTACCTCTAATTCTTTCAATTTAAATAACCCTACCGTACACTTTTCCTGGTATACTCAGTAAACTTATTCCTCTATAATTTTTACAGTCTCTTTTGTCCCCTTTCCCTTTATATAAAGGGACTATACATGCTCTCCGCCAATCCCTAGGTACCTTCCCCTCTTTCATACATTTATTAAACAAAAGTACCAACCACTCCAACACTATATCCCCCCCTGCTTTTAACATTTCTGTCATGATCCCATCAGTTCCAGCTGCTTTACCCCCCTTTCACTTTACGTAATGCCTCACGTACCTCCCCACACTTACATTCTGCTCTTCTTCACTCCTAAAAGATGGTAATACCTCCCTGACCAGTGCATGAAATTACTGCCTCTGTTTCTTCCTTAACATTTAAAAGTTCCTCAAAATATTCTCGCCATCTACCTAATACCTCCATCTCCCCATCTACTAACTCCCCTACTCTGTTTTTAACTGACAAATCCATACTTTCCCTAGGCTTTCTTAACTTGTTTAACTCACTCCAAATTTTTTTCTTATTTTCATTAAAATTTCTTGACAGTGCCTCTCCCACTCTATCATCTGCTCTCCTTTTGCACTCTCTCACCACTCTCTTCACCTTTCTTTTACTCTCCATATACTCTGCTCTTCTTATAACACTTCTGCTTTGCAAAAACCTCTCATAAGCTACCTTTTTCTCTTTTATCACACCCTTTACTTCATCATTCCACCAATCACTCCTCTTTCCTCCTGCCCCCACCCTCCTATACCACAAACTTCTGCCCCACATTCTAATACTGCATTTTTAAAACTATTCCAACCCTCTTCAACCCCCCCACTACTCATCTTTGCACTAGCCCACCTTTCTGCCAATAGTCGCTTATATCTCACCCGAACTTCCTCCTCCCTTAGTTTATACACTTTCACCTCCCTCTTACTTGTTGTTGCCACCTTCCTCTTTTCCCATCTACCTCTTACTCTAACTGTAGCTACAACTAAATAATGATCCGATATATCAGTTGCCCCTCCATAAACATGTATATCCTGGAGCCTACCCATCAACCAT